CTGATCCCCCGTTGAAGAATCTTGTTTGAGATACGAACATGTAATAAAGCATGATTTGAACATGAAAATATCAAGATAGTCTGAACCTTTATACCAACAAGTATCTTTAAAAAGGTGGAGGCACGGGGGATTCGCCACCATCCGTTGACCGAACAGGCAGACGACGGGACAGAGAAACAAAGAAGGAACCACAATTTTTGTAGTACCAACAAGAGAAAAGCTGCTTGTTTTGACAGATCGATTTCGAACAAGACATTCCTCTAGAAAAGGTGCGTGAAGAGAAGACTGTTGCGTCGTCAATTCGGTGTTTCAAATCACTGTAAATTGCTCGATGTATTTTTGTACAGAGTTCACTGGAAGGGAAAAAGATTGACGCGAAAGAGAGATCAATCTCAACCATGAACAAACCAAGTCATTGATTGATAACAACTGAGCAGTTGCGTGCTTGAGATTGACAAGCCATCAAACAATTTTAGCGAGCCAAGTAGGCATGTCATTGTTACCAAAGGCAACCAGAATAATTTTGCAGGTCTGTCCAAAATGAACTAGAAAGCGAAACCACATATCGCCCAATTCCTCGACAGAATAATGGAACAACGGCAGAAAACATCGTTTCATCAACTCTTTTTATTAAAAGAGCAGAAAACATGGCTTAAGTGACAAGGAAATCCAGTTGCAAATAAAGGAAGAGAAGTGGGAAGCATGTACCATAACTGGGAACGGAAGCAGAAGAAATCACCTCATCTCACCTAGTTTCTGATGCAGGTGACAGGGTGACAGACAGTTGAAAATACGGCCAGAAAGATACAGGGAGGGAGCCATCAAACTCCAACCAACAACAGCCTACTGTATTTATTAGGTGCACATCTAAACACTTTCGCATCGTGGCCAATTCATACTCAACTAATCTCATACTAAAACCAAAACGAGAAACAGTCAAACCAGACCACATGCTGAGTATAAAATACAGACTTGGCCCTAACATACGAATTGTACCGTATCTTGAAACAAGATGGATATATATGTTGTATAGGAGTTGTGCACAACTGGTGAGATTCGAGATCACAAAATCTAGTTAGTTGCAACTTTATAATCAAGTTGTATATAGCCCCAATATCTGATAGGGATAAAACATACATCTTCAACAAATGCCAAGTAGTAGCACACAAATTGTCAATAAGGAATTTGACACACAGAGAATACAACGAACAGCCTGCATTAAGGTACAGAAGCATGGAGGCTCAGGAGGATGTGCAACAACAATAAAACAACCTTCAATAACTGTGTTGTATTGTAGGGGAATACCCTGAAGCTCATGAAATACATGCCAGTGGAAGAAGCGCCAGAAACATCTTCCTTACAGAGTCCGTGAGATGTTCTTGAACTCGCTTAAACAGGACAGCAGAATCTTTTGACGCTTCAGCAGAGACTGGCGCTCATTCTGGATACAATCAATCGCGCCGGGAGACACAAACATGTCCATGAACTTCTCATCATTTACAGCAAACAGCTCGAATCCAAGCGCTAAAAACAACCTTTCACGGCTGCATTGCATCAGTAGAGAAAAAGTGTTAGAAGAGAACAAAACTTCACATGCTGGATGCGACTATTCAACAAGCACTAGCAATCAAAGCACATTCAGTTCATATCGATCACTGGATTAATGGTTATTCTTGATACTGAGCTTAGAATTTATGCCTAGTGGACATGTCTTCAATATATGTGCTAACTTAGATTGCTCGTTGAGTTTGTGTTCATCTAATCACAAACATAAAAAGAACTGACGATTTTTTAGCCTGTGACTTCTAAGCAGATGAGCTAACTTAGGCATGAATCACAAGTTAAATTCCACAGTTCACTTCCAGGCTAAACAAGCAGAAAGAGAAACGTGTAATATAGCTATAGCCCATAGTTCAAACATACCATGGTGTTAAGAATCCAGAATTCAATGCAGAGGGAACATTCCTTTCAATCAGGACTTCTCGCATTTTGGCAAAGTACTGAGCAGATATGGAACATATGCTGGAGTACGATGACCCTGACCTTGAGACCAGATCATCACCACCAACAGTCACATTGTTATGGTGACCCCTGTTTGCATATGCTGCCATCCTTGCATGTCTTTTCCTTGCCCCACCGTCATTCATATTTCCATTGTCTTTCTTCTTACCACCATGTATATCAGCTGGCAGATCAGGAGAAGGCGTCTCAGGAACCGTCAGCTGGCTTTCTTTCAGAATTTCCCTCTCATTTGCTTTAGCAGGTGGAGTCATCTGTTGCTGATCTCTTGGTGGTAGATTCTCCTGGCCTTCCTCCAGTGATCCACTGTCTGATAGGTCAAAAGATGCAACTCCACTGAACTGATTAAACCTGTGAAGGGTGTTTGCTACAGTTCCAACGCCACCAAGAAAGTCGCTCTCATAACAAATATGGGAGTAGGGGCTCGTGACTGAATCAAGGTGATGTCGTACTATCTGCTTGCATTGCTTGGACAAATCCTTGACAAACTTATAATAGGAGCACCGGAGAGCAGCAAGGAAGCCAACATATCCATCCATATTTTCAACATTTTGATCTGATAGGGAAAAAAGGTGAAAACACGAGAACCGTTAGCAAATTTATCCTGATGTACTCCAAGAACTTCTAAAAGTATGCAATGCCCCTAGTTGTATTCCAGTGAAATGATGAAGATAATAAGAGAACAAAAGACAAAACTGATGATATGGTATCTTATAAGCTTTTTAAAAAGTAAGATGCACATATAAACAGTAGTATCAATATAAGAGTAGCTCAACAGTAAATGCCCACACTAATTATTGACTGAATAAACTTTGTATGGAGACAGTGATCAACAGTAATAGGGAAAACATGTGTGTAAGTAGTTAAGGGATCCAAACACTTTTAATGGCACACATTTGGTTTAGAAAATGCTATTGGCAGTTCCCTAGAAAAACTACTACACAATAGTAATTGGACTACTAAATAAGGCTAGAAGCCAGATGAACCCCAGCACAATAAAAATGCCAAATCTTACATCTTGAATCATCAGTGCGGCTGCGCTCCATTGCAAGGTCAAATAGGCTTTGCAGGACAAATGCAAGCCGATCACAAGCAGTTTCAGTAAGAGGAGCAAGCCATGATCGTGCAGCTGCGCGTGCTATCTCAGCAGCTGCCTCAGTCATCCCACTGCTCCCACCTCTTCCAGCATGGGCAAGTAATATGTTCGCAACCTGATGACATCAACATCTCAATTTCAGCTAACTTACCCAAAATGATGTACGGAGTACCTACAACTTTCCAATCCAAATTGTACCTTCTCTCTTGACACCTGTGGGCACTCCATGGAATATGTCGCACAGCGGAATTCGTGCATTACTCTCTCAAAAGCCGCACCGCCATACAGCTTAAGGCTAGAATTGGGAGGTTTTACAGGAACACTGATGCCAGGCCAGCTGTTAATACCACTGTGCATTTGCTCCTCTTCAGTAGTTTTTCCCCATACCTCTGGGGCTGGATCAGCTGCTCCATCAAGTAATGCACGCTTTCATACAAAAAAATATAGTGCCAGTTAGCTCCAGTACAAGAAATAGCAACCTAATTACAAAGAAATGTTATGCAAGGACAGATTGTGCTTTGTTTACATACCAAATGGGTGCAGATAGAAGCAGCATGAAGCATTGCCGATCTCCTCAGCTGAGAGACATCAGAGGTTGCTTGCAGTTTGGAGTCCAGTCTGGATAGGTCCATCGAGACATCACTGCATCTCTGCTCCAACAATGCTAGGGTGGCTGGAGCTGCTTCTTTGTACCTCTTCTGAAGTTCAGACTCCAGGTACTTCCTGAGGCAGCTAAACCCAATGTACGGACCAAACTTCTCTTCATTGAAACCCCCTTTCACACCATCACGCAAGTGTCGCAGCACATCAATATCTACCTGACATATTTGCCGCCGGAACTCGTCATTGGAGATTGTTCCTCTGTCCTTTGGAAGAGCCACAAAGAATGGGTGGATATTGTCCCCAAGGTAACCGCTTGCGCTCAGGTAGCTATCGACCTCCCACCGTTCGGTAAATTCCTAGAAATGATCAAAACAGGCAACAATACCATATGACACAACACCAAATTCATTCCAGTAAATTCCTTGAAATGATCAAAACAGGCGACAATATCATAAGACACGGTACCAATTTCATTTCACAATCTACAGTGAAGAAGGTATTGAACCTCACAGTGTACTGATTGTTCTGCAGGCTGGCAGGCATACCTTGAGTCGGTTGTCAAACTTGGAGATGACTATCATGGTGCGCCTGAAAGTGGGATCGATCTCTCTAATTGCATCGAGCCAGAGTGAAGAGCACCACTCGACGCTGCTCTGCTGGAGGAACAGAATGAGGCGGTGGGGCGGGCTCGCTAGTGTCTTCACCATCGACAGGATCTCCTCCGGCGTCCTCTCCGGCTCACCTTTCTTAGCCTACAGCAGTCACGAATTCCATCAAACAGCTGACAGACAGAATAAACAACCACTACCCTTTGTTGAGAAGTGGAAGCCCCAAATTCATCAAACAGCTGACAAACTGAAAAACTGACTAAACAATCACTGAACTGAAGTGCCTCGACCTACCTTAAGCACGAAACCTGGGGTGTCGATGATGGTGAGGTTGGGGCAGTGGGCGTACTCGGCCCTCATGACGATGGGCTTGGACGACACGGCGGCCTGGATCGTCCGGAGGTGCGACTCGGTGCGCTGCTTGATGAGGTCGGCTATCGCCGCGGCCTGCACCATGGGGTGCCCGTACTCCTCCGAGTCCTCCTCCTGTGATTCGCCGCACAACCCACGCAAATCAGCCGCTCGCTCGCATTCACCAGAAGCACCAGACTCGATCTGTGAGGGGAACGAAGGGGGAAACCCTAGAAGAGGTGAAGCGGAGCGCGCACCTGGAAGCGGCACCGGGGATCGAGGGCGGTGGGGTCGTGGACCATCTGGAGGACGAGGGGGCGGCGGGTGCCCATCTCGACCTCCCGGACGTTGAAGCGGAAGCCGAGGAGCGCCTCCAGAAGCGAGCTCTTGCCGTCCGACTGGCCCCCTATGGCCACTATCTCCGGAATCGGGAGCTTCTCCCCGAACGCGACCGCCGCCGCCTGCAGCCGGTTGTACGCCTCGAACCGGGCCTTGGTGTCCGACGCGGCGGCGGCGGCGGCGGCCGAGGCCGAATCCGCCCCGGCTCGGCGGGCGGACGGGGACGGGGACGGCGCCGCCTTGGGGTTGGGCGTCCTGCCCGCCGCCGGAGACATCGCCATGGGTAGGGGAGCCACGGTGGCAGCCGAGGCGACGGGGTTTGAATTTGAAATGCGGGAGAGGTCCGTGTGGGAAAGGGTTGCAGAGTACAGGCTGTAGTGCGATGCGAGAGCCGTTTGGGATTGTGATATTTATTTATACAGGAGATGGGCCGATCTCGAATCGTGTCTTCCACGCCTCCCTTTTGGATCGCATCGAGGTCATGCGTCCGGCCCATCCAGCCGTCGATAGTGGACTTTGTGTTCTCAGGGCATCTTCAACAGGTTGTATGTTATTTTTGTTGGTAAAATGTTCATATCATCAACCAACAAGCTATCATACAACTACTCCAATGGATTGTATGTAAACTATTTAATAGATGGTGAGATAATAAATGTGATTTCTCTCTATTTCACCTTGGAGCTTGTGCAAAGGTTGTTGGTTAATCTACATACAACTTTGCTCTCTCTTCACATTTAATACATACCACATCATCATTATGTCCTAGGTGGCAAATTTACCAACACCTATCTCACAACTGTTGGAGATGCCCTCAAGGCACAAGCCCAGTAGCCCACAGAGCACTACACTCTCCTGGTCTCACAGTTTCTTTTGCTCAAAAGAAGAAAAATCTGACAGTTCTCTCCTGGGGTAGTGAGAGCATCTACAACTCGATTTGACAAATCCAACCCCCTAAACATCCACGGACGCGTCCCCACATTGTGTCAAACGGCCTCTTATATGTCCTATCGAACAGCCACACTCCTCATATCTAAACCCCCAATCCATACAATCCATGCACATGGATCATATAAAACAAATTCATCAGGATTTAAAAATTTAAAGTTACAAAGCAAAGTAAATCACAGTTCAACAATTCAGACATGCCAAGATAAAATTCAGGTCCAGGCCACGGCTAATCAAGAAGGGCACATCTTCAAACACATTTGGAGTAGCTCCAACAGGCTCAAGCACAAGATATTTTTCTGGCTAATAACACATGACTGGGTCAACACAAGACATATGTTAACGAGAAGGGGCGTGCATTTGGATGACAAATGTTGCCCAAACTGTGACCGGTAGGCTGAAGAAACCTTTATGCACTTGCTTTCAGACTGCGCATTTGCCCAAAGACGTTGGAGCACTTTGATGTCCAGTGAAAAGAGAAGCACATCTGTTTTTGAAGAAACATTATTTGCAAGGGAAAACTACTAGCTCACTTTGTTCTGGCAGTGACTATCCTAGGATGTTGGAGCATTTGGATTCAGAGAAATGGGCTGGTCTTCTGAAACATTCAGCCAATTGTCCAAAATTGGAGATTTATTTTTAAACATGAATTACAATTTCTCAAATAAAGATCAAGAGTAAATATGCAGCAAAGTTCAAGTCTTGGCTACCTCAGACCTTCTGATATAATGATGATCTTGTTCCAAAAAACTCAAGCTGGATAAACTTCTTTTTCCCTCTCGTAGGATCTTTTTTAGCTTCCCTCTCTTTTTCTCTACCATTGTAACATACTTTTTATAGTAATGAAGATGGGAGCCTAAAAAAGAAGAATCACTCGTCGGACGCCATTGTAGCGCTCAAGATGCGATTCTATCCCAATCACGTGATGAATTCATGATTAGGGCACAACCGCATTTCAAGCGCATAGCGAGGTGGATATCATTACAACATACCATGTATTGAATAGATGAGAATACAAGATAAAGGCTTACACTCGCCACAAGCTACATCATTTATACAACAGTTTGTCAATACATAGCGATTATCATACAGAAAAGCAGGATCCGACTACGGATAAAATCAAACGAAAAAGAAGATCGACATCCACCCTGCTAATCACAGGCTTCCCGGCCCGTGAACCTATCCCTTGATCGAAGAAGAAGAAGAAGAAGAAGAAGAACTCCAAACAAGCAAGCATCGCTCTTTCATCATGATCATCACATTACCAGTACGTACAACTGTTGTTGTAGTAATATGTGAGCCACGAGGACTCAACAATCCCATTACCATGGGTATCAAGACTAGCAAAGCTTAATGGGTATGGAATGGATAAGTGGTGAGGTTGCAGCAGCACTAAGCATGGTATGGTGGCTAACTTACGAATACAAGAGTAAGGTGAGAAGCTACGCAAACGATGGCAAACTAGTAGTGATCAAAAAGTGATCATGAACTACTTACGTTCAAACATAACCCCACTGTGTTCTCTTCTCGAACTCACTCGAAAAGAGACGGTTACGGTTACACACGCGGTTGGTGTATTTTATTTCAGATCTGGTGTCAAGTTCTCTACAACCGGATATTAAAAATTCCCATCTGCCACATAACCATGGGCACAGCTCTCGAAAGTTTAAACCCTGTAGGGGTGTCCCAACTTAGCCCATGACAAGCTCTCACGATCCGCGGAGACAATCCTCCATCTCGGGACACCCCGAGTAACCTCGGAATCCCGGTGCACAAGCTCTTCGAAGAAAGGAAAACTATCCCAAGGAGATCTCCCGGTGAGTCAGATCCGTGTCCAGAGCCGCGAGCTCTCTATCTACGGACTCATCCGTCTATGCTAAGTGTACGATAGCCAAAATACCATCAAGTTGCCCCAAGGCGGCACCGCCGACTGCTAGGTAGGTGGACCAACACTCGTGAGGAGCACTGGCCCGAGGGTTAATTAAGAGACATCGGGTGCTAGCCGGTCCCTATGCAAGTTTTAGTTGTTATTAGTCAAATGGTAAAACCAATGTTGGATCTCCTCAGGAAAGCTTTACTTTAAACGAAGAAACAAAGGGGGGGCATAAACCCCGACCGCGTTAGGAACGCAAAATTCAAGGAACATAACACCGGTATGACGGACACTAAGGCGACAAGAGTGGAACAAAACACCAGGCAAAAGGCCGCGCCTTCCACCCTTTACCAAGTATATAAATGCATTAATTAAATAGGAGATATCGTGATATCCCATGATATCCATGATATCCATGTCCCAACATGGAACAACCTGCAACTGCACCTGCAACTAGCACGCTATAAGAGGGTCTGAGCAAGCGGTAGCATAGCCAAACAACGGTTTGCTGGGATGGTGAAAAAGGTTAGAGGCCATCATGTCAATTTGGGAGGCTTGATAAACAAAGTGATAGGTAGCGCGACATAGCGATAGCATCGAGACAACTAGCATAGCAAAGATAGTAGTGAGATCCAGGGTGACGGTCATCTTGCTTGAAATCCCGCTAGGAAGAAGACCGAATCCATGAAGAAGACGAGCCCACATAGTTGAACGAAACCTCACGATCGCAATGAAACAGGAACTATCGAGAAGAAGCACAACCGAAAAGAAGCAAACAACATGGTAAACAATCATCACATAAACATGGCATGATGCATAATCAAGTATGATGCATGTCCAGTTTAATGAGGTATGGCATAGCAAAGTGCAACAAACAATACTACAAATTAAGTGGAGCTCAATATGCAACACCACACTTAATTATTTAGTTCGCTCTCGTTTATGAACAAGACAAGATTAAATGTTAGTTAACATGGCAAGAGGTGAAGCATATATAAACTATCTATTTAGGCAAGTTTAAATGAGGCCGGAACAACAAAAAACAATTCCGGAAAATCCTCATATGCAATTTAGCAATTTAATGCAGACAACAATTTTAAATATTTAAATGTTGTTATCATGATGCGGATGATGTTGGAAATATGCCCTAGAGGCAATAATAAATTGGTTATTATTATATTTCCTTGCTCATGATAATCGTTTATTATCCATGCTAGAATTGTATTGATAGGAAACTCAGATACATGTGTGGATACATAGACAACACCATGTCCCTAGTAAGCCTCTAGTTGACTAGCTCGTTGATCAATAGATGGTTACGTTTTCCTGACCATGGACATTGGATGTCGTTGATAACGGGTTCACATCATTAGGAGAATGATGTGATGACAAGACCCAATCCTAAGCCTAGCACAAAGATCGTGTAGTTCGTATGCTAAAGCTTTTCTAATGTCAAGTATCATTTCCTTAGACCATGAGATTGTGCAACTCCCGGATACTGTAGGAGTGCTTTGGGTGTGCCAAACGTCACAACGTAACTGGGTGGCTATAAAGGTTCACTACAGGTATCTCCGAAAGTGTCTGTTGGGTTGGCACGAATCGAGACTAGGATTTGTCACTCCGTGTAAACGGAGAGGTATCTCTGGGCCCATTCGGTAGGACATAATCATAATGTGCACAATGTGACCAAGGAGTTGATCACGGGATAATGTGTTACGGAACGAGTAAAGAGACTTGCCGGTAACGAGATTGAACAAGGTATCGGATACCGACGATCGAATCTCGGGCAAGTACAATACCGCCGGACAAAGGGAATTGTATACGGGATTGATTGAATCCTCGACATCGTGGTTCATCCGACGAGATCATCGTGGAACATGTGGGAGCCAACATGGGTATCCAGATCCCGCTATTGGTTATTGGCCGGAGAGTTGTCTCGGTCATGTCTGCATGGTTCCCGAACCCGTAGGGTCTACACACTTAAGGTTCGGTGACGCTAGAGTTGTTATGGGAAATAGTATGTGGTTACCGAAGGTTGTTCGGAGTCCCGTATGAGATCCGGACATGACGAGCAGCTCCGGAATGGTTTGGAGGTGAAGATCGGTATATTGGACGAAGGGTATTGGAGTCCGGAATTGTTCCGGGGGTACCAGGTGATGACCAGCGTGTCCGAAAGGGGTTTCGGAGGCCCCGGAAAGCGTTGGGGAGCCTTATGGGCCAAGGGGAGAGGGCACATCAGCCCACTAAGGGGCTGAGCGCCCCTCCCACCCCATCTCACGTAACCAGGAGAGGTAGGGGCGCCACCCCTAGGGCAGCCGCCCCTCCCGGCTTGGGGGGCAAGTTTCCTAGGGGGTGGGGGCGCCCAAACCCATCTAGGGTTTCCCCTGTGGCCGCCGCCCCTCCCTTAGGGAACCCTAGGGCGCCTCCCCCTCCTCCCTTTCCCCTATATATAGTGAGGGAGAGAGAGGGCAGCCGCACCCTTCCCCTGGCGCAGCCCTCTTCCTCCTCCAACACCTCATCCTCCTCCGTAGTGCTTGGCGAAGCCCTGCCGGAGAACCACGAGCTCCATCACCACCACGCCGTCGTGATGTTGGAGTTTTCCCTCAACTTCTCCTCTCACCTTGCTGGATCAAGAAGGAGGAGACGTCTCCCAACCGTACGTGTGTTGAACACGGAGGTGCCGTCCGTTTGGCGCTAGGATCATCGGTGATTTGGATCACGACGAGTACGACTCCATCAACCCCGTTCACTTGAACGCTTCCGCTTAGCAATCTACAAGGGTATGTAGATGCACTCTCCTTCCCCTCGTTGCTAGATTACTCCATAGATTGAACTTGGTGATGCGTAGAAAATTTTAAATTTCTGCTACGATCCCCAACAAATGACATATGTAAGTTTTATGCCATTTTATGAAAATGTTGACATGAGTGTGTTATGAAGCATTTGGTCACCATGGCGAAACAAAAGGGGTGCCACGGAAACACCAACGGGAATGGTGTCACGACAACATTCCGATGATCTGATGACTCGTCGAGATGTTGGTGCAAAAAAAAGTGTGGATGTACGGAACATGCAAAAGATGGTGGGGTGATCCCGGTTACCGGGTTCCCACGGGTCGACGGTATGGCAAACGAGGAGGAACGCGCAAAGACAACTCGGACACGGTGCCAACACGAACATCTCATACAACAAACATGCATTCGTTCACGGGTGTCGTCTCGGGGTTATACCTTCGAAGCGTGCATTCAGGACGGTTCGGGTTCGATGCGATGTAGTTGTTCATGGGTCGTAGTCGACGTAGTGGTACTATCGGTACTCGGCGACGGTAGTGAAAGTAGTGGTAGACGACAACGGTAGAGGTACTTGCGATATTGGCGACGGTAGTCGTACACGGTTCGTAGACGTTCGAGTCATCGGTAGAGGTACTTGTCGCATCATCGGGCGTATTCGACCTTGGCGTATCCGTGCGTAGGGGTACTTGCCAAAATCCACGGGAACAGTAGTGGTACATGGTCTTCGCTTTGTAGTCGGACTTGGCGAATCCGCGTAGTTGTACACGGGTCGTTGCACACTTGACGAATCCGAGTCTTTCAAGGTCGGTCTTGGCGAGGGATGGTCGTAGTGGTACTTGTCGGTCTCGGTCAGGGCATTCCTGGTCTTGAGGAGGTCCCCGAAAGAGAGCTTGGCGTCCACGGGGACATGGAGCTGCGGTCTTGGCGTCGGGCAAGGGATCGAAAGCCAACAAGGGTTGCGTGTAAGAGTGTTGCAGGAGAGGCCGGAGTTGGGCAGACGGCAACCCGTTCCCGGCAGCGGTGCAGGAAGCCAGCGGTGGCTTGAGGCGTCGGTGAAGGAGGCGGCCCCCATGTCAGGTCGAAGAGCGGTCGGGCGATGCAGGACGAGCACGTGCGCGAAGCAGAGGGCTCCCGACGCGGCTCAAGTGAAGCAGAGGCAGCGGCGACGAGGCTCGAGTGGCTTGGCCCTCCGACAAGGCGGGGAGGCGAGGAAGGCTGGAGTTACGGGCGTTGGAGGCGGGGCCGGTCGATGATGTCCGATCGAGGATGAAGCCAGAGAAGTAGGGGCGGAGCTGGGAAGAAGTGGCTGCAGTAGGAGCTTGGGGTCGGGTTGGCCATGGCGTGGAGGATGAACCAGGGAGCCTCGGCGAGGAAGCGCGTGGAGGCAGGGCCGACGGGAGCAACAGCTCAGACGGCAAGGCGCGGCCATGGGGATCGGACGCGACGCGCGGGAAGAGCCTGGAGGGCTGCGAGATCGAGCGCAAGCTCTTTTGCATGCGTTGGTGGCGGCGCTATCGGGAGGGAGATGGGGATAGAGGAGAGCTGAGCAGCGTGGGGATCGGGCTAGGGTTAGATAGGCGCTGATTGGGCCTTGGGCCGGCCCAAGAGGCCAGCTAGGCTGCAAGGCTGTCTATCTCTCTCTCTCTACTCTTATTTCCTTTAGTACAAAAGAATTAGAGAGAAGAAAAGAAAGAGAGGGTTAGGGAAAGAATTTGCGCACGGGGTTAATTTTCCCGGGCTCACAAAAATGACCTTGATCCAAGAAAAATAGAAAGTGAGCATGGGCGTGAAGTTGAAATCAACCTCATTTGAATTTAATTCAAATGAGTGTGAGAAAGAAGTGGGTATTCGCTAGGTCCAAAAATGTTGAGAATTTAGGAGGAGCCTCGATAAATTAAGAAAGAATTATAGACAAGGTTTGGAGGTCAAACTTGAAGTAGAAAAGGGATATGATTGAAATTGCAAGTGTGTTGCGGTTAATTCCAAACTAATGGAATATTTATAGTAGCTCCCTAAATATCGAGAGGATATGTTATAAAGAGAAATCACCATGTGAATTCCCTTGAGTTAAATAGATCGAAAGATCTATGCAATTTATTTAATTGAGTTTTAAAAAGGGGTTGCATGATGACATGATGCAATGCAAATGATGCAATGATAAATGCAATAAACAAAACAAATCACACGACGAAACTCGAAAAACATGGAAAGCGTCTGAAACGTCGGTTTTGGGTCGTCACAGCCATCCATGCCGCATTTGCTGTTGCAGCCCCTCGTTCTCTCTAGGCAGGTCGGTCTCCTTCTTCCCCTCAAGCCACCTTTTCTCTTTCTCATCCAGGAGGCTTGCGTCCTCCAACATTATCATCGAATCCTCCATCTCTCGAGCAAGTTGCAACCTCTCCTTCTCGAGCTCTATTGATCCAAAAGTACGGGCCTTCTTGAGCTCCCATCTGAGTCACATCTCTTTCTTCTCCAACTCTATTTTCTCTCTCAATTTTCAGATAGTTGCTCTCAATTTGTAACTTGTTGTTCACCCTCTCTCAGTTTCAATCCATCCTTTCTTTTTGCTCATCCAACATGAGTTTGTACCTCTTCTCTTTCTTGTCCTCGCTTGTGGAAAAAATGTCCATCCATGTGTTGGACATTTTTGTCATTGAGGCGTCACGGACGGCTCCCCCCTTCTCTCACTTATTTCCTATCAGTTGTGGGTTATTCATTAGCATGATGGCTCGTCCAATCTCCCCTACAACTTCTTCCTCTTCATCATCCAATCCAATGGATTGGTGGGAGCTTGAGCCATCAGTTTTCTTCAACCTCTTGTTACCAGTCTTGAGCTCTTCACAGGTTGTACCCACTTTGGTTGGCCATTCAATTTCATCTAACAATGGCTAAAACCGAATAGCTTCTTCTCGTTTGTTGGTACAAAGTGTCAGCCAACACCATCTATCAAACAATAAAGTAATTATGATAGTTCGACATAAAAAACTACCAATGCAAATTATGACAAAAAAGAAGCAATTCAACTTATGTGACTTTGGACTCCAATCTCACTTTGACTTCGTCCAAGCACGGAAGCATAGTGACCAAAAAACTTGTTCATGTTGTCTTGGATTGCGGACCATCTATATTGGAGAGAGGCCACATTGCAGGTGGTATTGATAGGATGCGGTTCCACATTATTTGCATTCATGATATTGTGGATCTTCTTCCAATACTTGTTGCCATTTTCCTCGGTGCCACATAGAGTCCATGCTTATGGTCAACCAAGATTCAACCAACAAAACATCCTCAGATATTGTGTTCCCCCAATATCAAACTATGACAATTTGGATCCCCAAAGTCATTCCATAGGGTCCATAGACTCTTGACCATCATTGATCATGTTCGATATGATATTGTCCTAAAATGACCATGATTCGAAATAAACTAGCAGAATATGCAAAAAAAATGATCCAATGGCACAATGATATAATGAACGAAGTGATACAAAATAGAGCAAAAATTGTACCATCTCCTGCTAGGACATTATCTTGATCAGGACCTAGGCAAACCGGGCGCCGGAGTTGCCCGTGCTTTTTCGCACCCTTTGGAATTGCAGCAAGTCGCACACTTGCGTAAATACATCCGAAAATGCCCATTCGGCTATCGGATCGTTGTCAATCGCAGGCGGGGCAAACGTCGGCTTCCTTGTCAGTGGTAGGATGGATGGGCTTGGGGCGACCGGGCTCAGCGGAGGGGACACATCCTCCTCGACATCCACAATACCCTTGGTCGAAACTTCCTTCGTTGTCGCTTTCTGCTGGTGTTGCTTCCTTTGCCGCTCTCTTCGGATGACGTTCTCTGCCTTGCAACTCGTCGCCGCGGTCAAGAGCTCCATGACAACGCCGAGGCGACATCTATGCCGTCGGTGGGCGATGGGGTACCAGAGATGACATCTAGGGCGACGGACGGGGGTGGTGGCGCGGATGGGGGAGCAAGGGTGGAGGACGGCGATGGCTGGGATGTGGGAAACGGAAGCGTGGGAAGATGATGGATTTGGTGGACTTGTCAATTTGATGCAATTAGAGGTGGATCCGATCTAGTCTGATACGGGGAGTATACGTCAGCCATGATGTAGTATAAGTCCAATTTGAGGAGCCCAACTAGGTCACGATTTTATGGCAAGTCACTTACCCACCCAGCCGGATGTATAGGGGCGTTTGAGGAGCCCTGAGTGTACAGCACAAAAAGAACCTCTCCTGGGACACAGGAAGAAAGATTGCTCCTGGGCTAGAATATGATCTCATTTGAAGAAGAGATTGATCCAGTTTATAAAACAGAACGAGAACCAAGAGCACGATCGTACTCTTCTAGTGAAGTGAAATTGCATGTCACAGATACCAGATAGGATGTCATTGATCTCGTTTCATTAAACTCCCAGGAAAAAAAATGAAAGGAACAACTCTCAATTCACAGCATGTTTACAAGATACAATCGAAACAACGGTTCACATCAGTTTCTCTCAACATGGCTACCCATCAAGATGATACAAGAACATGGCAAACAACAGTTGTAATGTCCACTAGAGTCTACAGGCTACGCTAATACTGTTACACCCAGCTTAACCCTTGTTGTGGATGAAGTACTTCAGATTCCAGGTGTACCCAATCAGAAATTCAAGGCTCTATAGAGAAACAGGGCTACGATAAGCAGGCTTGTCAACTGATGAACTTGAAACAAACGAGGCACAACAATTCAGCTGTCAGTCATCTTCTCTGGCTGCGAAGCAATCCAGAGTTCAAACTTGTTGAGTAGCATCTAAAACTTGACTTGCACTGAAGGTTCGGAAATGGTTCAAACGATACCTCTCTGGGATCTTCACCTGCCTGCGGCCTTCATCTTCCTCAGCTCCCGCAGTATAGCCTTCCTCCTTGCCTCGTCTACATGTTCTAGCCCAGGAATGTTCTTCTCGGCAGACCCACGTCTTGGGCTTCCAACACTCCTTGGAGAGTTCTTAAGGCGCTTGTTTCCTCCAGGCGCACCTTTCGGTGAGCCGACATTGCTCGAGCCGATAGTGCAGTTTTGGTTGACAGCAGCCACGGTCTGCTCACAGCCAATATCTTGTCCGAGTGGGGTATCTTCTGCATTCCTCGAGGTGTCATTCCTCGAGTTGGCAGTGTTGTGTTTGTTAGCAGGAGGAGTCCCATCTAGTGTCTGCTCACAGCTGATATGTTGTCTGAATGGAGTATCTTCTCTCTCACCTTCATCAAGATTTTTTTGCGCCATCCTTTCCTCCGAAACAATACCGTTTCTATCTACATTTGGTTTGCCCAATACACTGCCATTGGGTTCTCTCTGTTGTATGCTATCCGCAGCAATGCCATCGTTGTTCTCAGCAGTATAGTTTTCTAAACGCTTCCCTTTTTTGGCAGCACTAACTCTTGAGTAATGACGAGTACTAGAAAACCATCTAGTGATCTGTCAACAGAAACTCTAGTGAGGCAGGAGAAATACAGTGGCACCCCCAACAAAAGTGCAGCTAACATTGATAAAAAAGGGTGTGGCCAGAAATGCATGTTATGATGAAAGGACAAACTGGCATTTCAAACCTGATGGAATGTCAGGCCAAGCTCTTGTGCCAGACTTTCTTTTGCTGGGCGACTAGGATAAGGTTCTTTTTCGAAATATGCCTTGAGCTTCTGCAAGAGAAATGGAGTGCCAATGACATAATTTAGAATGCAACTGATATAAACTTTCAGCACCAATATAACTGTAGAGATGCATAGTTAGCTATACCTGATTAACAATAGGACCATAACTTTTTTTCCTGGCCGTGCTACTGGTGCCATTGGAAAGCACTTCAGGATGCTGTTCACTTACTGAACCGCTGTGCCGTTCACTCTGTGGAGTACGCTCATTGTTCTGGCGCCCACCTCGTGCTCTTCTGGTTTTTGCCGGCTTAAGTGGTCCAGCAAATGAATCTGTATCACTGTCTTCTGGATTTCCATTTGGGCTATGTCCAGACCACTCTTCTTCATCGCTTGAATCAGTGGTTTCTTTTCCATAAGCCTCCTTTAGATTCCAATATAAAATAAATAGAAATAACCCGAGTAAGGTCCATGCATGCATTATTAAAGAACAGGATTAGCTTTAATGAATGATGTGATTTTCACAAACAATGCACTGATTACTTAGTGAAAATATGTATAATTCAATAAAGCAACAACCCCAAACTGAGCCAAAATAATTTGTACAACCCAATAAGGCAACAACCTGAAACTGAGCCAAAACTACCCACACACCACTCACAATAAGGGAACAACCCGAGTCAAGATGCAGAAGGGTGACGACTTCTGTTATATCATAAATATATTTCTAATACTGAATGGCCTTTATTTCCGGAGTAAATTAGGGCTTTATTCTTCAGGTCAACAGCATGCCAAATAAAGAGAAAATGCTTTCACGTAGGAATTTGAGTATAAGAAACATGCATTTTTTTAGGTGAAAAAACATGCATTTATGGTACGGAGAAATGCGAGGAAAAGACATACATCATAAAGCTTTTTGTAATCCAAATGTCCAACTTGTCGCCTATTTGAAGCTGGTAGCACAGAGTCTTGCTCTAGCTCTGCTTCCATAATGTCCACTCCATTAGTTTGGTCTGAGAATGAAGGTGCCGAAACTTTATCCTTGCCAGAAGATTTAGAAATCTCAGCACAGAAATCATCAGAATCAGATGTGAAGTCTGACTCGTCTGAGTTTGTTTTGGTCTTTTGGTCTTCACTGGAATTTGGACCTTCTGGATCAAAGTCATCATCCTCTGAGTCATCCGAAGGCAACGCAAGGTCATTGACGGTATTTTTGTTCTTTGATTCAGACCTTTTCTTCTTTGAAGGTTCAGACTCATCGGATGATGTAATAAAATCCAGGTCATCAGAATCTGATCCTTCGTCCCCATCCTCTGCAGATGATTTGTTTTCATCTACCGTGTCCCCTTCAGCTAAAGTAGGGTCATAATCCTCCTCTGAATCATCGGATGGAAGATCAGATGCTCCAATTTGGTTTAAGCCATTTGAAGTTGACTCAGGAAAAACTTTCTGCGGAGAACAAACAGTCTTGTTTATATCGAGGGGACGCTGGCAATAGAGGACTGTACATTACTCTATCAAACAAGGCACCCAGTAGGTATTTACCTCCCATGAGTCATGCATAGCAAGTGTGCTCCCTTGGAGTTCATTTAGTAAATCAATACAATCTAGCTTGCAATCGCACGCAGGGCAAAGCCATCCTTCATCCCCCTGAGGAACTAGAAATAAACGTTATTAAGTACATGAGCAACATAGGGAATGGTGCTTTCTATATCAAGGGAAGAGAATTAGGTATTACTATCTTCTGCCAGCAAAGGAGGATTCAAACATTTCTGGTGGAATCCTCTATCACACACTCCATCGCAAAGAATGATATCATTTTTTAGTGTAACATGCTTTGAAGCACATATGGCACAGAAAATCTGCAAGACAAAACAGATTATGTCTGTTGAAGTCACAACAATGAGTATAAACAAGCAGGAGTGAACAAAATAAGATGGCCTACATCTTCACTAGATATTTCTCCCTCAGAATCAAACAAAGATTCGTCAAGCTTCCCCTCCAATAGAAGAGAATCCATATTACGAAAAGCTTCCCGAATTCTTAACTTGCATCGCAAGATTTCTGCCTTGGCTCGCTCAAGCTCCTTCTCAGGTCTTATTTTTTCCAAACTACATATGCAAGTATCAAGAAAGCATAGCGTTAGAGGGTGGAGATGTTAAACGACATCAAAGAGAACAATAGATACACCCATATCTGAATTTATAGATCACAAGGACACATTACATGACTAATGACTTACTTATGTAACCTCTCATCCCCCTGTGCCATAAACCCAAACTCATATTTTTATTTGCACTGGCTAATGTTTACCACAATTTGCCTCACTAAATTGATCCTTTTCTGAGATGTACAACACCAGGTTCCAGCAAACAAAGAAATGAGAGATCAAAGGGAGTGTGAAACATAGTGATTAGAGAGACAAACCTTTGACCTTTCCAACCTTCACCAGCGTATGCTTGAATGAAACTTTGTTCGTAGTTCATTCGATTCAAAATGTATCTAACTCGCTGGCGAATTTTGATGCACTCATTCTTGGGACTAGCTGCATTTGAGGGCCTGCCTCTTTTCCTTTTCCTGGCAGCTGGTTGAGCAGCAGTACTGTCGTTTACTGGCTCATTAGGTACCTTTTTCTTCAAGGTAGAGCTAAGCACCCTGGCACTACTATGTGCGGACCTCAATGAATTTACTTGCTTTTTAGGTGTCTTGCTCTTGTTTTTAGGGGTAGATCGAAGAACCCTGGGACTACTATGAGCGGATCTCAATGGACTTACTGGCTCATTAGGCGTCTTACTCTTGTCTTTTGAAGTAGATCGAAGCACCCTGGTACTACTATGTGCAGATCTCAGGGGATACTTTTTATTTGCTATAATCTGGGACCCTTTCCTTCCCCTTTTCCCCTTGGTAGGAGAAGAGGGTGAACCATTCCCAACTTTTTCATTCTCCTGAACAACACCAGAAGCAGATGTTTTGCCCATATCGATGATGACCACAGACCGACCTTCTCTGCAGGAACTGATAGGCCGATCCTGGGAGATTTAGGGCAAGCCTTGTAGAACCTTTCTGTAGGGGAAGATGATCCAGTAAGCTTTTTCAGTCGATAGAAATGTGCCGGGGCCTACATCAATAAAGTAAATACAAATATGGTTATTAGCCAAAAATTAACAAAAAAAAAGGATAGACCAAGTGCTAGAAGCTCCCACACCAGTTGGGGTCCGGGGAAGGATTATACGAGGCAAGCCTTACCCCTGCACAGTGCAATGCAGAGAGGCTGCCTCAAACCCAGGACCTCTTGCCACAAGTGTGGAGTACTTCCCCACTGCGCCAGGCCTGTCCTTCAAATATGGTCATTAACACCATAAACCAAATGTTGGAGGCAATTGTTCACGTGCAACTTCTAAGTACTTGATTTGGATGGACTTGTCGTTTCTCTTATAGTTCACAGTGGAGTGTACGTAATACCTATCTGGTCAAAAGAGGCATGACACGAAGCAAGGGAGTGCAGGACCAAAGGGAAGAACCACAAGACACACATCTTTTATGTGGTATTATCATCAAACTGAACTGATGCACCATATTAACAGCTCATTGGATACATGTGGATGGGCAAGGGAGTGCAGGACCAAAGGGAAGAACCACAAGACACACATCTTTTATGTGGTATTATCATCAAACTGAACTGATGCACCATATTAACAGCTGATTGGATACATGTGGATGGGTATCTCAGATACTTCACCTGAAACACGATCCAGCTCTGCAGCTATAGGCAATTAGGTATTGCAGTTTCCTGTGTCGTCACAATGCATGTGTTATGATAGTGCCTAAATGTACAAACATTTGCAAACTTACCACAAAATTACCTTTTAGACCTAATTTTGTAACCTTAAAAAAGAGGAAGTGCTGAGAAACGTAAGTCATACGCTAGTCCGACTTGACAAGTATGATTAAATTAAATTATTCTAAGAAAGAAGGGGAAAACAGTTACAGTGTACTGTAAGATGGCGTGTGGATTGTGGAGGACATATAATGCTATGAAATGCGGTCGTGACACAAGGAATCCAAAGCAAGGTAGAAGCAATTAGTGTCACTTGAGAGGATCAGAAGCTAGATTATTCTGTGGCACTAGATACAGCAAGAATCCGAGAGCCCAAATAGGTTTGATGGGGATGTGTGAGACACAATCCCTTGCAACTCTGAAGGGCTTGCTTTAACAAATATGTGACTGGCTTCACCAAAATTTCTCCCTTGTCATGATTGTTCATCGCTATTATTTGGTTCTCTCAATGCACATTATTTCATATCTCACGGTATCATACCAGATTCAGGAGTTACTGTACAAAAGATGAGGCATCAGAGGGTATTAACAGGGAAAACATGCTTTGAGGTGGCAAGAAAGCCAATATCACTATTGCCACATTTCACTAATATAAACTAGCTAACCAGCGTAAGGCGGATCCAAAGTATTCCCCTACCTCTCCATCCCACCACTCCAGATCCAAAGCTTCCTACACCACCTCCTTTCGTGCAAAGTATATTTAAATCACCTAATATACTGCCGAGTCACAGCAAGCCTTGCAACTGTTACAAATCCGCAATGAAGAAAACTAGCTCAAAAGCAACAAAATACACACCGTTTTGTACACGAAACCCTAGATTCGCAATTAGTAATCGCAAGTATCATAATAGCCTTTGCACGTCCGCAGAATGGGCACTGACAAGGAGGGGACAAAAAGACAGAAAAGCACGAGCGGTAGAATTGGGCACGGAAGATGAGGAAAACATTCTTTGCGGGATATGGAGATGCGAGGCCTGCTTGTGGGGTGGCATGAAAGCGGAGAAATCAGCGGGGAGTGCGGCCGGGGCACGGATGCGATCGGCCGCAGAGGAGAGCGGTTGGAGAACGGCGGCCCCTGGGGGTAATTCAGTGGGCGACGAGCCGTCGCGCGACAGGATTGCGGAGGAAACAGTCGGCCTTCCCACGGGGACGGGGACGGGGACGGGGACGCGGCACGGCACGGCACGGCAGGCTCGGTCCGGCGGGGGCTAAGACTGTCGGATGCTGCCGCCCGGCGATGGAGAAGGACGGGGTAAGATGGAGGTCAGACCTGCGGGCAGTTGACGTGCAGGAAGCAACGGGGCAGTGGATGGGAGGGGGGAGGGGAGCAGGGACGGCGGGGGCACTGACCTCGCCGTCGCCGGTCGCCGCGGCCTCGGCACCGCGCGCCTCGGGGAGATTTCGCAGCTTCCAGACACCCTCCCGCGAGCGACGCCGGGTACGCGATGGACTGACCCGCTCACGCGCTAGGGCTTCCCTGTTTATCGAGTCTCCGCCGCGTAGCGGTTGCCGGGCCTCGGTGGACCGGGAGGGTGATGGTTCGTCAGAGCGGCCCGGCTAGCCCAACCGTCAGCGTGTTTTGGTTCGTGGGAGTTAGAAAATGGGGAACGTTTGTGTTTTTTTTTTGTTTTTTTGTTTTTGCGAATAGGGGAACGTGGCGTTGTAAAAAAAATAGAAACGGGGAATGGGAATCGATGGGTGAAGATATTAAAAGTCCATTGACTAATTAGAGAGAATGCATTGTGCTCATGAACGTACACATTATGCTCTCCGCTCGAAAAAAGAAAAAAGAAATACTACATTGTGCTCGTGGCAACATGGCAACACGAGTACTTTTTTTAAGCCACGGATGCCCATATACACACACATACACTCATCTCTATAAACGCGCACACCTTCAAGATACCGAGTCGGCATCATCTCCAACACGAGTACTCTTTGTAACATCACCAGTGAACAACACTTATGATTAGGACTACAAGCACGAGTCCTAGATGCACACAACAAACCTTCATTGCACCTAATATTTCCTTTAAATCAATATACCTACCATCAACATCCACGTCTTTGCAGCAATTTTGCAGCTTATTCTCTCTGTCCATCTTGCATTGGCTTTATCTGCACGATTCAATTGTTGGTGGATCGGCATTCAAAGGATGCAATATTATGTCATTTTCATCCAGGTCATCTTCATACACATCGGCCCATCTTCAAAATCACAAACACCATTTTCATAAATGCAGTACATAACAAGACTAGAGCGATCATAACAACCAAACCAGGAGCAATTGGGGCACTTGTGGTAATCCTGGTACTTGCTGCCCAAGAAATCCTAGTCGGTACGGTAGTCGGCGACAGATGAAGATATATCAGTGGAGGGGAGAGTTAGGGTTTGGGATTTGCAATATAATTGGGAAGGTTGGAGAGAAGATTGACTATATAGGTCAACTTAGGGGGGTTATTTGAAAACATAATGACAAGAACTTTAAGTAAAATGAGACACACAAACAAGTACAAGGTACTGAATTATCATTTCTCGAGTCTGAGGTTCGACTATAAGTGAGATTTTTAGACAACTACAATGACATTAGGTGTATTTAACTCGTCCCATTATAGCAATGCCAAAACATTTCAACATTCACTCATTTCCCAACTAATCTAAAAAACTCATTTAGTAAGCCTAGCTAATGATTAGTGTGCAAAAATCTGGCAAATCTATTTCGGCTATGAACTGTGATATCACTTGGTTGGCATGGAAGATCTAGGAAACCTAAGAGGGCACATCTTTATATTGGCCCCAATAGAGTCACGGACTAATGAGTTTGTCATTCCCAGGCATAGGGGTGAGCAATTGGGTCTGCAAATCAAGCACCCTAATTTTAAAAACATCAAAGGAAATGAGGTGTAATGTGGGACGTCTTCAACCGTCTAATGGAACTCACTGTAAGGCCTCGAATGCGAAACTATTCCAAACTTAGCGTGTTACTCTCAAATACAGAATAGACGCATATTAGATACATGCCCGATTCAGATAGCTTCGACACATAAATGCATGGATATACGGATTGAGGTGAAACATTATCCATATCATCACATAAACAGACTAATGAAGGTAAGTAGGTCTCACGTGAAACATGATCCAAATTACATCCAAGTCACATTTACATCACATTCATTACATAGCGGAAACATGGCGAGTCTGAGTACAGACGAAAGCTAGAATGCCTAGAGAGGCTAGAACGGAAAAGCAAATTTGTCCCATCCCAGAGGTCTCAAGCTGCCACCTAGGATCTACTATCTACTTGTCGGCGTACTAGTCCACGTAGTATCAACCTAAAATGACGCTGTAATAGTAGTCCTCTACAACAATGGTTATAGCAAAGGCGAGTATATGGCATAATCATGATTTATTTATATTATTCAGGACAAAAATACATTACCTATTTAAATTTTATGTCTAATTGCAGAATTACCGAACACATGTACAAACCATCCGTGGTGATGAATCAAAGGGACATGATTAGATGTTGTACAATAATTTCTTCAACTTCGCTTTGGGCCCAAAAGAAATTAGAGACCAAGCCCCTCACGCGGTGGACTCATATTCGGACTTGTAACGCCCATGATGCGGATATATCTCCCACGTGTCGAGGCACGACTTAGAGGCATAACCGCATGGTGGTTTAGTTGCAAGTGGGGTAATCTTCACACAATCCCATGTACTGAATAAGAAAGGGATAAAGAGTTGGCTTACAATCGCTACTTCACACAAATAACAAGTTAAACATACATCATCCAGAGTATAATCAAAGGTCTGACTACATAACCAAAATAAAGAAAGACAACCCCAAATGCTAGATCCCCGATCGTCCCAACTGGGCACCACTACTGATCATCCGGAAAAGACACATAGCAACGACCAAGATCTTCATCGAGCTTCCACTTGAGCTCGGTTGCGTCACCTGCACTGGTATCATCGACACCTGCAACTGTTTGGAAGTATCCGTGAGTCACGAGGACTCAGCAATCTCACACCCGCGAGATCAAGACTACTTAAGCTTATGGGTAGGATAAGGTAGTGAGGTGGAGCTGCAGCAAGCGCTAAGAAAATATGGTGGCTAACATACATAATATAAGAGCGAGAAGAGAAGCAACGGTCGAGAAGCTAGAAGTGATCATGAAGTGATCCTGAAGCTACTTATGTTTAAGCATAACACAAGACCGTGTTCACTTTCCGGACTCCGTCGAAAAGAGACCATCACAGCTACACACGCGGTTCATGCATTTTAATTAAGTCAAGTGTCAAGTTCTCTACAATCAGACATTAACAAATTCTCATCTGCCACATAACCACGAGCACGGCTCTCAAAAGTTTATACCCTGCAGGGGTGTCCCAACTTAGCCCATCACAAAGCTCTCACGGTCAACGAAGGATATTCCTTCTCCCAAAAAGACCCGATTAGTCTCGGAATCCCGGTTACAAGACGTTTCGACAATGGTAAAACAAGACCAGCAAAGCCGCCCGATGTGCCGACAATCCCGATAAGAATCACACGTATCTTGTTCTCAAGGCACACCGGATGGGACAAGCTACAAGTAAAACCAGCCCTCAAGTTTCCTCGAGGTGGCCCCGCAGGCTGCCCGGTTCGGA